TGAAGAAAATTTTTCGGGCAGAATCGGGGTCTGTTTCCAACTTTCAAAACCCAATCAGCGAACACACGGCGCTGTCTATGACCGTTAAGCTTGAGCTCAATTGGATGTTGTATGGGAGCAGACCCAAGTCTCGACGCAGAATTCGCCAAGTTGAAAGCTGCGAGAGGCTCAGTTCTTGTGCGTGGCGAGGAATCGACTGCCGCGGGTTCTCCTGCACACTTTTGCGTACTGCGGCGAAATTCTCGGCAGATCTTGCATTCCGTTAACGTACGGGTGGTGGTTGAGCGTTCACACATCGTAGAAGTTCAGGGAATTTCGTAGAAGCTTAGGACATATCGCACAGGTTCAGCAAACTTCGTATACTCAGTTTATGGAACTTCGTAGCAGTTTGTCAGAGAACTTAATTCATAAAGGCTCAATGAACTTCCTGAAATTTAGCAGATATATGCCAAATTACGTATCGATCGGACGCCACCTTTAAGGATTTGCATGAAACTTTGCATAATTATTAATCTCTTAAAAAATTGCAAATGGCGTATTCGATATTTTTCAACAAATCATGACTCTCAAACGTCACTTCCAATCGAAATGCCATCTGAGGCAAAGTTGTAGAAGAAGATAATTCCTTTTCAGGAAAAATAGACACGACTAAACAATATCAAGTAATTATGGGTTAAAAATCGAGAAATTTTACCTCAAATGAGAATGATTGACCATAACAAACAATTATCCAAAGTTTCATGCAAGTCGGAGAAGGTCGAGTCTGAAATTCTTTTTTTTTTGTGTTTGGCCTAGAAATGCTCTTCAGGATTATCCGGCAATTTGAAGATCTTAGTCGAATAACACACCACCACCAATCAGGCTAAGGTCTTGTTGTCCTCTGCTGTCCGAGGAAGTCGTCTTCACTCTACTCGTAGTCTGCGAAGGGTCCGCAGGTCGCCTTCTGCTTGGTCGATCCACCTTGCCCGCTGCTCGCCTCTTCTTCTTATTCCTGTTGGGTCGCTTTCGAGAACCATTTTCACTGGGTCGTCGTGCGACATTGTTACGACGTGCCCAGTCCATCGTAGTCGTCCAATTGTTGCAATGTGGACGATGGATGGTTCTCCAGCAGCTGGTGTAATTCGTGGTTCATTCGCCTCCTCCACGTTCCGTCATCCATCTGCACTCACCCGTAGATGGTACGCAACACCTTCCGTTCGAAAACACCTAGGGCTCGTGGCCGAAAACGACCACCGGTCTAATCAGAGTCATGTAGACAGTCAACTTCGTGCGGCGGCGAATTTTATTCGACCGGAGCGTCCTCCGGAGTCCAAAGTTGGCACGATTCCCTGCCATAATGCGTCTTTGAATTTCTCTGCTGGTATCATTTTCGGCGGTCACCAGTGAGCCCAAATACACGAACTCATCGACCACTTCGATTTCGTCACCGGCAATCTGAACTCGGGGTGGGAGGCTACCATTGGCTTCCCTAGAACCTCTTCTTATTCTTCTTAGTCGAATAAAGAGAGCTTGAAAAAAAAAAATTTCCTACTTGGAATAAGTTCAAGGAACATTGTGTGAGTTATAGGAATTTCGTAAAAATCCAGCACTTGGTAGAAATCAGTTGTAGAAAAATATATAAAGAATTTCTTACAAGTTGATGGTACTTCCTACAAATTTAGGGAGCTAACCCAAGGAACATTTCAAGTTTTATTGAGATTTTAAAGCATTCTATAAGTCTCAATCACGATCTACAGAACCCTAATAAAACCAACATTTTTAGTTGGGCAGAGAGCTTCGGATAAGTTCAATGGATTGGAAAGACGTTCATGAAGATTCGTTTGACTTGAGAACTGAGTTCAAGTACATGAACCTTTGTGGAATAACAAGAACCTTCATAGAAGTTCAGGAAACATCGTTAAATTTTTTAGAACTTCGTTAAATTTCACGGATTTTCAATAGGATATCAATAAAGTCCTTCGAATATTTTTCCAGACATTAGGTTAATCAAGTATTATTCTGCTGGTCTGCAACCACCGACATACCGACATGAATGACCATAGCAAAAACAATAAAATTTCTAACCAAAGCAAACTACTGACAACTGGCTACGTGTTCGCGGTAAATATTTAGCTAAGCCATGAACCTGCATGCAAAAGTTATTGGTTGGTTCGTGTCTGATCTATTCTGGACAAATTATTTTTATCTAGATCAAAAATTCATATGGTTTTGACAGTTTTGATCACTGCACATTTAAATCGGCCGTTTACGATCTTCGGACATAAGTCAGAATTAAGTATCATGTCGGTTTGTCGGTGCTACGACTGCAAATGTTGGTCTCTATTGTGGTCTCTCAAATATTCATCTAAGGCGGCAGATTGATCAGGAAGATTTTAAGAGATCTCCTGATAACGTCCGCTTAATTTCCGAGCAAAGCTGGAGATCAAATTGAAATCAAAATTTACTGTTATGATATAACTTATTTTGAATACTCCAGTCGATTTCATTTCGGTTGACTTAACGGTTAACATGGCAAAAATGAGAGCTAAATTTTACACTGTTGAATCAAACGGAAACTAATATTCTTTTCAATGAAATCAATTTGATTTCTGATTTTGGATTCATAGTGCTTCTCACGTTGAACGACTTGAGCTCAAATCTCACCCCGGGCAAGTCACGAGCAGCAGAACTTCAAGTTAAGTTGCTTTCATTTTAAAAGTCTTGGCTGCATAATGAAAGCATAATATGATATCTGTCGCGACAATTGAAATCAATATGAGTTTTCATTATGATAGGAGCTGCACACTTTAATATCGATTTGCTTTCATATTGTTAATCGATTTTGCTCGGGCAGTTTTTCATGACTTCAGGTTGATGATTATTCTGAAGACATTGAACGGGTTATAAAATTTAATTTAGAGGAAATGGATGTAATGTCGGCCTAAATGCCCCTAATTTGGGCCCATACATAAATTCAGCAATCGACTAAATTTTCAATAGAGACCAAAAATATCCATTAGTACCGTCCAAATGGCGCGTTCATCTAGATAAAATTGATAAATAGCAGATTTTTAGCGATGGGCCCAATCTAAGATCCATAGGCCAACATTAGATCCATTTCCCCTACGTCTTCAGATATTCTCCCAAGAATGCTGGTTGATCAAATAGTATCCATGTGAATTATTATAAAGATCTCCAGTTGATCCTAAATATCAATAAAGTTCTCCAAATGTTTTCTAGATTTTACTACCGTTGTACAAATACTTGTCTCATGTTCTAATCAATCCTTATGTACCGTGGGACAACTATGCGTTACGCGACAGTTACAAAGGCAGCTTAGGTTGATCAAGAATTCTTGTCTCCAAGACCACGACAAACATAAATTGTTACTTGGTCGTTGATCGAAAAACTTTTGAGATTTCTTCTTCCGTAAAAATATAAGAGTAGTCAACTCTCCATAACTTGATCTTCTAAAAGTCGATGGCATATTCAAGACCAACAATTGAAATGGCCTTAACTCCATTTAGTAATCAAACCTTGTAAGGCCATTTTCTCGCGAACCGAAGTCCGCTAAGGCAAACCAACATAATGAACAGGCAGGAGAAATACTCCTCTACCCGATTGTGATTTATGTTTGCGAATGAAGGTTTCGGTTCGGGAGAAAATGGCCTTACAAGGTTTGTTTACAAAATGGAGTTAAGGCCATTTCAATTGTTGGTCTTGATATTGTGGAACCACAGACAAATGTGATTTTTCTGGCTACTACGATCGTCTCCTCAAATAATATTCTACCAATTTGTTGCTCTATAACTCGATAATTCTATAACTGATCCCTTCAATACCGAGTTGACTGTAATATCAATGAAATTTTGTTTTCAAGATGGCCTGTAGTCAAATGTAGTGTTAAAGTAGTTGAACGCAAATCAGGTTTATTGGATTTGGTTAAGTAATTGAACTTTTTCGATCAAAGCATAACATGGCTCTCATTTTCAACGGTATGGATATTATCTGTGTGCACTGTTTCTACATGTTTCGTTATTACTTCATTAGCGTGTGTTACCCGGATAAATGTATGTATGTTGTGTGTACTTTTCCATTCATTTTCCAACAACAAACTAGTTTACTTTTTATATACCAAAACAAAGAGAAGATAGAAGATTGTATCATTTCATACAAGTATTTAAATAGTTTCCTTTATTTTTTTACCTAAACACAAAAATTGACCCACAACTGTTCAACACTCTCTGCAAATACCTCTTAAAAGCTGTACCTTTGAGTATGTTTCAAGAGAGAAATAAAAAAAGAAAAGGTACAACACCATGCCCTTCCCTTATATTTTGAGATCAAGCAAGATTGAGAGATTGAGACAAATTTCCACACACTTGTGTACTCCGCGAAGCGACGAAATTTTGACGGTTTTCCATTCAAATAAAAATAAAGAGAAAGAGATTGGATTTTTCCTTCAATTTTCCCCTAAATTGTTTAGATGTAATAGCCTAAGAAACTGAAAGAAATGAAAAAAAAATGCAACTAAAATAACTGTTGACCCATTAGTTTACTTAAGATGCACCAACGAAGCAAAAGTTGATGGAGAAACTAATCTACTTATATGATTGTGTATGTAAAAAAAAAAAAAAATATTCTGGTAACACGCAGAAACTGTCCACCTGAAAGGCTGGGGACAGTATCGTCCACTGTATCATTTGTCGATTGGTGAAAATTACTTTAAAAAAACTTGGAATACATTTAGGAATAAAGGCAAAAGAAGAGATTATTGAATAAAGAAGGTTAATTTTTTGACAACTGAAAAGTTGACTTTTCAATGCCTCCTCGATTGCGTCGTCTCTCTCTTTCTCTCTCTCACTCACTCTCACTCTCGATCTCGTTTGATCTCAAATTGGGTTTTCGCTTCCGATGACAGTTGTTGGTCAATTTTGGCACACGGTGCAGCGTTTCCGCCCTCCCGGAAAAGTGCAACTGCGTGCATCACTCACACACAAATCCGGAATTCGCTCTTGCAGGATCAAACCGAGTCGGCCGCTATACTCAAGATCAAGGAAAGCATGCAGGAAGAGGCGAAACGCTTCGAAAAAGATTCCGACCAGCCCGACTACTACATGCAATAACATCCTCCTCCTAGCGTTTCGACTACTGCTTTTACTACTACTACTATTACTACTACTACGACATCATCTACTACCGCAAAAACAACCACTACTTCTTCTTCTGTTGATGAGCCTACTACGCCTACTGGTACTGATGTCATGTCAGCAATTCCCGCAACTGTCACTTCCACCACCCAAAGCAACTGAGTTTCTCGTCTGTTCTACCTATTTTTTTTTTACCAAAAACAACAAAGAAAATCGTTAAGAAAATACACATAAACACGAGCCACCACGCTACACTGGCACCTTCACGTTTATTGCTGCAAAAAATGGAGAAACAAGTTGACATATTTTCGCGAGCAAAACTACCACTAGAAAGTACTACACGGTTTCCTTCGTCGGAAGCTCAAAGCACTATTTAATCATTGAAAAGTTAAGAAACAATTTGACAAATTCCCTCACTCATTCCCACCCTTTCACCCCGCTCTGCCTGTAGTTTAATTATCTCAGCAACCCAAGAGAGAGAGAGTTTCAAAAACAAACACACACACACACACACAAACACATTCAAAATGATAATCATTTTGCTACAAATACAATTAAAAACAAACAAGCAGTATCCAATGGTAACCAAAAAACCAAAATCTACTGAAAATAACGACGGTAACCACTTCTCGAAGCATGCTTATGTGAGAAAGAGTCTCCCCAATTCCCTTAAAGCATCTCCACCCCAGCCCCCCTCTCCTTCCCACCCACTTTCTTTTATGAAACCCCTCGCAAGAGAAAACCAAAACTCGGCTTCTCGTATAAGTATATTTTTATTTTCCGTTAGTTTCCGTCAATTCCTCCAACCGATTCCCGCTTCCGTTTTGTCCAAGTGAATCCCAGAAAAGGGTTAATGAAAATGAAAATGTAAGAAGTTATATGGAACTACACTGACACAAAACAGAAAGATAAAAGAGAACCCTATAGGATAATTTTACCAATACCAATAAATATGAGTAAACGAGAAGCAAACATGTTCGAAGGGAAAACCCAAGGACGAACACAATGAACCGAGCTGAAAGAAAATTGAGCTGGATAATCGGAGAAGAGCGCAGAGAAATGGAACGCGGAAAAGCAAACAACCAGCAGATGCAACTGTGTTAGAATTTATTACTATGATTATGTTTTTTTTTTCTCTCCCGAGCAAGACGTGCAAAAACACAAAACAGAAAAAGAAAACAAGAGAAATGGAAAAATCCAGAAAAATAGTGGAAAATATTCTTTTTTTTTTGTGAAACACAAACAGAGTCGGTTTTATTTTATCCGAAATGGCCATGATGTTCCGCCGATAATCGTTTGTTATTTTGCTGGTTGCTTTGATATATTAAAGGAAAATATGAGAACATAAAATAACAGAACATATCAATTTAGATGGACAATTTTTAAACCCAACACATCATGCTTTTGGTGCTACTGTATATAGACGATCAAATGTAAAATACTGTGGTAGCCACAGCATAGTTCCGTCAAAACTTCACCATTTTCATTGATCCATTGTTAAAGGATTAAATGTTTTACCCCTCTAACCTCGGGTAAACCGAGAGCATTCGACCCAACTCCTACTAGACATATAATGAAGTAAATTTTGTAACAAACAAAGAACAATGAATTATCGGCTCCGTAAAACTAACGCGATTGAGCCTTCCAAATAAATGAACTACATAAAGGATTAAATGTATGGATGGGTCTGAGGTGCGGTTGCTCCACATAAGTTTATCTGGTTTGTTTATTCGGAAGGCTCAACCAACCGGTGAGAACTAACGATTTTAAGTTGGCTCATTACTTGACTAGCCCATTGGTCCCAAGTACATCTATCAGCGTACCCCATTCTAGTCGAAATTCTAGTTCTTCTCTATGTTTGTTTTGATTCGCTATGAAAGTTTGACAGATGAAATGAGTGGTTCGTGGATTTTCCTATGTTTCGAGGAGTGCATCGATTAGCTTGGGACCGAAGAGAGTACCAGATCTGAGCCAAAAAGCTGAACACGTTTCATCAGGACCTTCTGGTCTTAGAGTTACCTCTATGGCTCAACCGCGTTAGCTTTAAGGAGCCGATAATTCATTATCCATTGTTTGTAACAAAATTCACTTAATTCTATGTCTAGTAGGAGTAGGGCCAATTACTCTTGATTTACCCGAGGTTAGAGGGGTACATTGCCGAAGGATAGGATCAGGGGTTACTTTACATGATAACACATTACTATGTTATAAGATGGATCCAATAAACCCTACATGTCGATTTGTTTCAGTGTTTAGGCCCTAGCAAGTTTTTTTTTTTACAAAAGTTGATAGGCCCTTCAAATGTTACGCGAGAGTTCTTTCATCGCCTGCTAAAACTGGTAATGATATAAGTAATAATACAGCTGTAGTTACAACAGATCATACAAATAAAAGTAATCGATCTAATGTAATTCAGAGCCCATATTAACAGCATCATCGGATAGAGAAAACTTTCCCCAACCCGATGATGGTGTTGGTTTTCTTAAGCGAACCCCACACGTATAAATATGTGTATTGAAGCGAAGGGGACTTATTGACAATAGTATTAATGATGTGAATATAGAACTATTATCAATACCGATGTATTGACGTCAATAAAGAATGTAAAATACGATCATTGTCAATGAAAGCAAACGTGTAGCGTCCACTTTATACATAGAGGTAACTCTAAGACTAGTAGGTCCCGAAGAACGTGCCCAACTTTTTGGCTCAGCTCTGGTACTATCTTCGGTCCCAAGCTAATCGATGCAGCTCTCGAAACATAGGAAAATCCACGAACCCCTCATTTTATCTGTCAAACTTTCATAGCGAATCAAAACAAACATTGTGTAGTACTAGAATTTCGACAAGAATGGGATACGTTAATCGATTTGTTTGGGACCAATAGGGTAGTCAAGTAGTGAGCCAATTTAAAATCGTTAGTTTCCACCGGTTGCTTTATAGGTGAGCCTCAAGGGGCAAAACAGCTCCTAATCATAAGCCATTTCAGAGTTGCTTTTGAGACACCTCAAGTAACTCACACTGCATCAGTGAGCAAGATCACTGTCATTCGCTTTCTCACCTTTCGCGTCACAGCAAAATATAGAGATTTCTGACGTTTATCGTACGCACACGACGGATACGTATACGCAAAATGTTTTCATCGGGAAAATTTTCCTGATGAAAACCAATCTCTATAGTCCATCCTATATGCACGAGTATTGATGGTTTAAAAGTGAGGATAACATTAACAAATCAAAATTTTTGGCTGGAGTGAAAGTAAGGATCACAAATGTCGCACTTGAAAATGGGATTATGCAAGTGTGCGTGTTATAAACGTCAGAAAGGTCAATGGAGGTGCGAAGCCGAAATGTTGCTGTCAAGCAAAACCACAACAAAAATCGTGTGCATCCGGTCTGCAATCATAGAGATCTCTAAGACTAGTAGCAACCGGTGGAAACTAACGATTTTAAATTGACTCACTACTTGACTAGCCTATTGGTCCTAAACAAATCGATTAACGTACCCCATTCTAGTCGAAATTCTAGTACTACACAATGTTTGTTTTGATTCACTATGAAAGTTTGACAGATAAAATGAGGGGTTCATGGATTTTCCTATGTTTCGAGGGGTGCATCGATTAGCTTGAGACCGAAGAGAGTACAACCAACAATCAATACGAAACTAACGATTTTAAATTGGTTCACTACTTGACTAGCAACCGGTGGAAACTAACGATTTTAAATTGACTCACTACTTGACTAGCCTATTGGTCCCAAGCAAATCGATTAACGTACCCCATTGTAGTCGAAATTCTAGTACTACACAATGTTTGTTTTGATTCGCTATGAAAGTTTGACAGATAAAATGAGGGGTTAGTGGATTTTCCTATGTTTCGAGGGGTGAATCGACTAGCTTGGGACCGAAGAGAGTACCAGAACTGAGCCAAAAAGTTGAGCACGTTATTTCGGGACCTTCTAGTCTTAGAGTTACCTCTATGGTACAACAGGGTGTCTACTACCTGGAAAAACCTGGAAACCCGGGAACTTGCGGGGAATTTTATTTTGTCTGGAAAAACCTGGAATATTCAGGGAATTTAGGTTCCACTCAGAGAATTTTCCAATTATCACTTCATTCGTAATTCAAAAGAAGTTTTTCGTTCAGTTTCTCAAAACGTTTCTTAAGGACACTGAACTGGACAAGCATCTGAAAGCTACGACAACGTGTGCGAGACAAGTTCATTCATGGCGGTAAGCTCCAACTCGGATTAACTTTTAATACCATCCCTGTTTGTATGATCTGCAAATTGTTTGCTCAGAGTTATGTTGATTAATTCTGATATCGACATCAAACCAGCCGGACATTCTTGATTGGGATTTAATCCGAGGATAATACTGGTTGGAGCTTACCACCATCAGAGAGTCTTGTCACGCTCAAGGTGGCTACATATAGGTGTTCTAATGTGTCAAATTCATGATTCAGCCATATTGGATTTTTGTATGGGACAGCGACCGAGCTTGTTTACAATTTGCTCTAAAACCGCACTTTTTCCCCCCGCGACCTCCTCGCCTATATAGTGACAAAGCTGTATCACCATTTATATACCCACCATGGTCACGCTCGCTCTTCGCTGATTGCTGACCTGGGGTGGGACGTGCTGTCAAATCAGCCTACTGATCATTCTTGTATGAAATTGGTTCCAAACGTAAACAAACCCTGTAGGTTTCTTATGGCTTGTTTACGTTTGGACCAGTTATGCAAGGTAGGCGACGATTGTTCGTATTTGACAGCCACCTCCCCCCCCTTGTTGCTGACAGCTCGCTTACCACTACAAACGTAGCCGACACTCAAGCATGGATGACTGCACCGATGAATTTGAGTTCACTCACTCGAGAAAAAGTGACACAAGCTGCGAGCAATGTTTACTAATCATGAACACTAAATTTTCATTATTCATTATTCATGAACATTTAGTGTTCATGATTAGTCAACATTGCCCACAGCTTGTGTCACTTTTTCTCGAGTGAGTGAACTCAAATCCATTGACGAGTGCACGGATGAATTTGAGTTCACTCACTCGACAAAAAGTGGCACAACAGCGGGGCCCTGTTTACTAAAAATGAACACATGAATAATACATTTGAAACGGGTCTATCAACTTATGTACACAAAACTTGTTAAGCCTTTTTTGCGCGAACCGAATACGCTC